GACGTGGGGAGGGGTGAGGGTGGCTCCTCCCGTTGAGCTTGGCTTCGGCCTTCCCCTTCTCCCGCCAGGATGCTGGCCGCCTGCGGCATGCAGCGATGTCACCAGGAAGCGCTGAAGAGGAACCGGGTGATGCTGGCGAAGCAGCTGGTATTGAAGGAGCTGATGGAGCATATGGTAGAGAAAGATATCATCACCACGGAGATGGTGGAAGTGATACAGGTATGCAGGCTGTACCCGACCACACTGAGCTTTGTTTCTGTTGGTGTCGTTCTCGGCAGCGGTAGCACAGTAAAACTCGTTATCATAGAATTACCTGGGTTGGAAGGGACCTTAAAGATCACATAGTTCTAACCCCCCTGCAAGGGCAGGGACATTTCCCACAAGATCAGATTGCTCAGGACCCCATCCATCTTGGCATTGGACTCTTGCAGAGAGGGAGGTTCCACAATTTCCTTGGACAACCTGTTCCAGCATCTTATTACCCTCATGGTGAATAATTTCTTCCTGATGTCTAACCTAAATCCACCCCCTTTTGGTTTTAATCCATTGCCCCTTGTCCTATCACTGCTGTCTCTGGTGAAGAGCCCTTTCTCAGCTTTCCTGTAGCTCCTTCAGGTGCTGGAAGGCCACTATGAGGTCTCCCCAGAGCCAGGCTGAACAACCCCAACTCTCTTAGCCTGTTTTCATAGCACATGTGCTCCAGCTCTCAGATCTTCTTCATGGTGTTCTCTTGACCCTTTCCAACAGCTGCATGGCCTTCTCTGTTGAGGGCTCCAGACCTGTACACAGTATTCCAGATGGGGTCTCACCAGAGCAGACCAGAGGGGCAGAATCACCTCCCTGGCCCTGCTGTCCACACTTCTTTTGATGCAGCCCAGGATGCAGTTGCTCTCTGGGCTCCAGCACAAACTGGAGGCTCATGTTAAGCTTCTCATCAACTACCACCCCCAAGTCCTTCTCCTCAGGACTGCTCTCAAGCCATTCTTCCTCCAGCCTTTATTTGTGCCTGGGGTTGTACCAGCCCAGGTGGAGGACCTTGCACTTGATCTTGTTGAATGTCATGAGGTTGGCATTGGCCCATCTCTCCCACCTTTCCCTCTTCCAGTTTTAATCCATTACCCCTTGTTCTCTTGATACAAGCCCTTATAAAAATGTGCCATCCCAGCTTTCCTTTAGGCCCCCTTCAGATACTGGAAGGCCACTATAAGGTCTCTCCAGAGCCTTCTCTTCTCCAGACTGAACAACCCCAGCTCTCTCAGCCTGTCTTCATAGCAGAGGTGCTCCAGCCCTCTGGTCATCTTTGTGGCCCTTCTCTGGACTCACTCCTCAAGCTCCATGTCCTTCTTATGTTGAGGGCTCCAGAATTAGACACAGTACTCCAGGTGGGGTCTCATGAGAGTGGAATAGAGGAGGAGAATCACCTCCCTTGACCTGTATGTTGCCTGCATATTTTAATGCCATTATGCTTGGAGAACATGCACAGCAGGATGGGGTTTGCTTGCATCATGGTGGAGAACTGTAAGTTACTTTTGGCAATATGGATTTTCTCAGAGACTTACTAAATTGTTGGCTTGCATGCTGATATGTAGTTGCACTTCATGAGTCAGATGGTATCTTCCAGTCCCTTGGTGTTTTGTGCCTCCCATATTCTTTTTTTCCATTTGTAGAAGTAGGAATAATGCCTGCTTTCAAAAGAATAAGGCAAAAGTCAGTAATTTAATATGTTATAAACCAGCTTGTTGTATGCATTTTTGTAAATTGTGTGAAGAACCTTCCATGATCCAAGACTAGATCATATAACAAATGCTGTTTGTGGGCTTGTTACTTACCCTGAGCAGCGGGTACCATGAAGATAAGCCATTGGAAGGAGCTTGGGGATTGCTCCCAAAACTATGGGAATGCACTGAAGACAGTGCAAGATGGAGATACTGCTCTTCAGAGAGAAAGCAAACTGAAAATGAAAGAACTGAAGGTGCATGACAGCTGCATCTCAGGATTTAAGTAAGCAATTAAGGGACCTTCTGTGATTGCAAGCAGAGTGTTAGGCCTTTATCATCATCTACCCAAAGATGAGAGTGGAGATCTAAGTAGTAATTAAAAAAGAAAAAATAATTCCATGGAACTGTCAACATTTATTTTTGA